TGCCAGTAGTTCTTTAGCATCATTGCATCAGCTCCCACAAACTGCAAACAAACCTGGCTTCCTCTCTATAGTAAGCCAATATATGGAGAATTTCCTTGAAAACCAAAAATGTAACGTATCACTCCCAAGGTTAACATTCACTTTAAAGGAAAGCCACCCATTCCCTGCAGAGAATGAATGAGACCTTTCAGACTGACTTTGCCATCCATCCTAAGGGAGTAAGTGTGGGGCAGGACAACTGAAGGGGCTTAGTAAAGACCAAACAGACAAGATTCCTGCTGTCACGAAGCCTAGATTCTAGTCACTGTAAACAGATAGGAGTAAGCACACAATCCATGAGCCAGAAGGAGTCACACTGTGATGAGTCCCTAAAGGAAACACAGTGGGTTCATTTGATGGGGTGACAGGATCACTTTAGATGGGGTGGCAAGGAAAGGCCTTTCCAAGGAGATGGCATTTGACATTTGAGCTGTGCTTTGGGTGACAGGGCTGAACTTGTCATAAGAATGTAAGGGCCGAGCTCCAGCACAAAGAGCAAGGGTGCAAGAGAAACCAGCTTGGCACAGTGGAGGAACAAAGAGGCCAGTGTGTCTGGTGCCCGTGCACAATGGGGCTGGTGGGGGGGTGGGGGGAGAGGATGGGAGGAGGCTTCTATGAGGGCCCTACTGCCCCAGCTAGGATGTGCGCTGTCTTCCGAGAAAAACAGGAAGCCATGAAGAATCTGCAGCAGGGAAGTGACATGCAAGGCCTGAGTGATAAAAAGCCTGTCCAGGAAGTGCGCAGGAGCTCTCTGGTGGTGCTGAGAGAGTCTCAGTGTTGGAATATTTGCTCAGACTTGACATGTGACACTGATCGATTGAATGTTTAAGATCTGCACGAGGTCTCAGTGTTGGCCTTAGCCCTGGAGGTGTGACTGCCCTGACAGACATCGGGAGTGCTCAAAAAACAGTCTGGCCTGTTCACTTTAAAGCAATGTTGAAATGCTTAGCATCACCTATTTAACAGGCAGGGGTCAAGGCAGACGGGCCCTGAAGGACCAGAAGTGCAGCGAAGGTGAGAAGAGAGAGCAGACTGAGGACGTGGGCAGACGAAGCGGCCGGCCGGAGCGAGGCCCGGAGTCAGAGGCGGAGGTTTCCGCCAAAGCAGGGCAAGAAGCCTGCATCCGGCCAGGCTGGAGGGACGCAGGTGCAGGGGCTAATGCCTGGATGCGCGGATGGTCGTCTGACCTGTGTCAAGGTGATGAAAGGAGTGACACGATCAGATTCCAGAAGGAGTAAGATCCTTGGGGCAAGTGTCAGGAGAGTGGGCAGAGGGCTGAGCACCGAATCTCGCACAAGGCCCATGTTTACGCAGAGGATTTCAGAGCAGAAGAGGAGTGCGGGAAGCATCCCGGAGACCAGAGATGAGACTTTAAGGGGACTGAGAAGTAGGAAAACCCACTAGTCTCAGTGATTACAAGTTCCACTGGCAACTTTAGGGAAGGGTGATGAGGCGAGAGGAGGAAATAATTCAGCAAATCACATGGTGAGTTCAGGGCAGAGCTGGGATTTGGGCTCACGATCACATTTCCCTGGTAGCAGGCCAACTGCAGGCGTGTCCGTGTGTCTGTGTGTGCGTGTGTGCGTGCACCCGCACACCCTGTATGTGTTTTAACACAGAAGAGAATTTTCACTGGGAAAGGGGAAACTGACCAGTCCTTAAAGATTCCATGTAAGTGCTTCACGTGATTAGAGAAAGAACATTCTACTTCTCGCACGTCATGTGTGCCACCACTTCACGTTGCTCTCTTTTCCTTTTATCCTCTCCCATATCCCCACTAATCTTCCCATTGTATGATTCCTTTTTTTGTTGTTGTTAATGAGAGACTGGCAAACATTTTCTTTAAAGAGACAGACAGTAAATATTTTAACCTTTGTGGGCCAAGAGGCAAAATCAGTTTATCATGTAGGTATTTACATACTAAGAGTCAGACAAAATTTCCAAATATTTCTCACTGATAAAGTCTGAAGTATAATAATAATAATGATTTAGTACAATTTTTGTTCCTTTGCTGTTGTTATAATATAAGCCAACTAGCAAAAGGAATGGATTCTTTTCTGTGGGATTAAAATTTCACTTAATTGGAGTTTAAAGCTAGTGTTCTCAGTCACCAAATCCGTCGCAAATATTCACCTGTAAACACCCCTCCGAGCTCGCACCCTGCACAAAAAGAGGCCTGGGGGTGGGCTGGACTTGGGCCACAGGCCAGCTCCTGCTCTAAGCAGTCCCGCCACGTGCCCCTGCTACGTGCCCTGAACCTGGTGGGTTTGCAGCTGCAACCAGAGAAAGGGTGTCTGGCTGCTGGCACTGCCCGTGATCCTCTTATATCGGACTCTTCACTCCTCCTCCTCATTTTTTACCCTCTTGTCCTTAATGAAAAGCACTCTTTCCTGGTATAGGATGTGAACCAAATGGGCAATTTGGATTTTATGTCCCAGGGATGATTTTGGCGCCTTAGAAGAGTCCTGTCCTTCAAAAATGAAATTGGCTGAAGGATGAAATTTCTTTAATTTCGAAATTAGGTATAAATCTCAACATGCAAATGTACTCAGGGAAGAAGACACTGACTTGAGGTCCCTCACCCGAAGGCACAATTAAACGTCCAACCAGTTTTTAAGCACAAGGTTTGTTTCAGAAGCAGAACTGACAGCTGCTGGGATGAACCATCAAGGCAGAAAGGTGTCTTGTCCGTTCTACACTCTCTGTCATCTGGGGCTCAGGGTTTACTCTGTGCTGAATCCTAGGGAAACACCACTTCTGCAGCCCCGCCCCTGCCCTCCAGCTTCTCGGCCTCTCCTTCGGTGTAGCCTCAGCCTCATCGACTCTCTCGGAAGCGACCTTAGAGACCATGAAATCCACATCCTTATTTCACAAATGGGAAAACGGAGATGCAGAGAGGTGGATCCTGCTTTTCTTTGTGACTGTTGGCATGCTGTTAATTTTATGTTTTTGAGTACTAGAGAAAAAGTGTCCTTCCAGCACTTCTGGGAAAAAAAAAAAAAGTAAAAAGTGCAGCTTCTAGGAACTTTCAACTTGGGTTTGTGCTTACCCAGACGGTTTAAAGATTCATGGGCTCAGAAAGGCATCTGTGAGTCAGAGCCACAGTGGGGATTTCCGGTATTTATGGTGGAGACCGGCCAGGTCCCCAGTTGACTCACTTGGAAGATGCTAACAGACCTGAGTCCCAGAAGTGAGTTCATTTGGTAGAGTCCCAGAGTGAGAGCCCGGGCACTGGTCAAACAAGAGCCAAAACCTTCCTGCGTTTGGCCATCAGACAACCCTCAGAGCAAAATGAACACGGGCTCAGGAATCAGCTGGAGGCAGGTCTGAATTTCAGCTCTGCAGAAGTGGCCTTACTTCGGCAATTCAGCTCGGCTCCGAGCCTGTTTCCTCCTGTGCAACTCGAGGGATTAATACCTACTTCACGATACTCTGGTTCAGATTGAGGGAGATCACGGGCTTACGGACTCTAGCACAGAGGCTGGCACCTGACAGAGACCCAACAAAATAAGATTACTAACGCCCAACACACTTGTTGTCTTACAAATAGACGGATATTTATAAGCCTAACTTTCTATCAGTCAGAAAAGGATGGGGAGAGGGAAAGTTCAGGAAGTACTTAAGACTACGTGCTATTAGTACTTTTCTGGCGTAAATGTAGTCTTTCGCAAGAGTCCTGGAGGCTCCCCAGGCCTACTGGAGTCACGGAAATCAACAATGGTCAGTATCCTTTTGGACACCATCTCAAGATCCTCTCAGCCCGCCCCTCACGCCGGCCACTACACGAGCCGACCAAGGTCAGCACAGCCTCACCAGCTTCACCCTGGGGCATCTCAGCAGTATATCAACAAGAGACGCTGCCCGTCCCTGCTGCCCACCCCTGAGCTTCTTCGATGACAGCAGAGGACACCCCCGAACCCCCCAGGATGGAGGCGTTAACACCTGCAGAGCTGCCCTGGTCCAATAAGGCGTAGGGGTCTGGGCAAAAACGCTTCCTGCCCCTGTGACCCTTGCACACGGACAGGCCTCAGGCACATTTCATGACACTTCTCAGGAGGTCCCGTGAAACAGTACAAGTGGTGGCCACCTCCACAAGGGACCCTCGTATCGGCTCCCTTCGCTTCCCCATCCTTTGCTCCTGCTCCTGGGGTCACATTCTCCACAAACTACCTGCACGTAAGCCTCTGTGTCAGGCTCTGCTTTCATGCTGACACTACCCAGTCCCTTGGTTTCCTAGAGTAATAGGTTTATGCAGTAGAAGGGACCGTGGAAGAGAGTTTCCTTCCAGGATGAGAAGGAGATGGCCGGGTGTTGTTCTCGCCCCCCACTCCTGGGACAAAGGTCACTAACTAAGCGTGACACTCCTTCCCAAGGAGCCGAGACACAGCCTCAGAATCCGTCTCTGCGCTGCTTCAGGTCGCCTCCATCAACTAACCGAAGCTAATGCTTGATTTAAAATTCATTTGCTACCTTGGGTCCAACAGACCCGGCCAGTTCAGATCTCAGCTCTGCCTCTTACTGGCTGTGCAGCCTCGAAACGACTTTCCTAACTTTGGTGAATTTCATTTTTCTCATCTGTAAGATGAGCATAATCATTTCTTTTCACAGTGTTACTAAGAATACTTACTGTTATTAAACATTTTTATGTATTTGACATTTAATAATAGAATACGCTGAAGTGCCTAAGAATGTACTTGACACATACGAGATGCTCAATACATGTAATTCTGTTCTCCCTTTTATTTTAAAATGCAATGAGCAGGGGATGTGCAGATGCAGTGACTCGTGTAAGCTTGGCCAGTAAACCCCACCTCTGCACTTTACATCTGTGAAACGGATGTAATCATCTATACGTCATTCCTCACTGTGGTGAGAATCAAATGAAGTAAGGAGTACCACAGCACTGTTCTCAGCGCTATTACGGTTATTACAAACGTTATGTTAGTAATAATATAATTACTTATTTCAAATGAAAACTTCTCAGGCGAGTGAGTGTATGAAGCATGTCTCTTTATTCTAGATTTATGATGTTTTGACAGCTGGGACCCTGCCGGCGCTGGAGGTACTGTCCCTTCCAGGGCTCACCAGTCCGAGGTGAGAGACAACAAATGGCTCACCTGCAGGCATGCTTTCACACACAGACCAATCAACCCAGAGCCCACGCCCCAGCCACGTCTTTCATCTCGGATTCTCAGTCTGGGTGACCTTCCCATGCCCTAATCACCCCAGGGCCAGGCACCAGGCAACGAGCAACAGCCCCTCTGCCCTAGAGCCTGCTCAAACCACTCCAACCAGCCAGACCTCAGCCTGCTGACCCTGCCCGGCCCGTTTCTTCCAGTGGAAACCCCAACAAACCTTTTCCCCGTGTTTTTCCTTGCTCCCTCTGCCTCCTGACCAACCCTGGTGCTTTCCTCAGTGGCCCCCTATGGTGTGGTATTCCTCACCATACCTGAAAAGTGAGAAAACCCACATTTTAAAACAGTGAGACTGAGAGATCGATGCCATCTAACTGATTACAGGCAGAACCCTCAGTCCCTGCTCTTCCTATCACACTACCCTGCCTCCCAGCTGGGGCATTAGGCAATCCTGACTGCCATCTACAGGAGGACAGCCCAGCACAGGGCCAGATGACGAATAAATGCTGACCAAGGAGTTCGCCAAGCACCGTGGGGGCCCTGATGCTCGGTGGGAAGAAGAAGGTGGAGGAAGCGAAATAAGTCTTAGGGTGGCCTTCCCAGCCTGGTCAGCTCTGAACTCAGTGATGGAGGGAGGAACTGGAGCCCTGACTACAGAAATCTGGACCTGCCATGGCTCACCAGAATCAAAGGTGTATTCTTAAGTGTCACACCCAGCAATTACATCCGAGTAGAAACACTAGTGCTGATGACACAGCCAGAAGGGGGGGTACGTGAAGAAATGTGAGGGGTCATCAATCTGCTGATTTCTGAGTTCATAGGTCCTCCCTCTAAACCCAAATCAAGGCCCTGAACAGTTCTGCCATCACTTTTCTTCCTTTTTATGGATGGGCTTGATGCTGTTTGTCATCACTTAGATCTCTAAATATCTATACTTCTCAGATCATTTTTACAAAAATAAACTCCAATGGGGTCCCTTTTATCTATTAACTACACAAGAAATGCCCCAGAAACAATCAAAGGAACAGCCAGCAACAAAGAATAACCATGCGTCCAATTATAAGACCCAGCAAACAATGAAGCTGACAGGGAAATGGTTTAGAAGAAAAAATATGGAAAATGATCAGACTATAATAAGAGCAGGGGATATCAGACTTTGACGAAAGTGGAAATTCAGACCTGGAATAAGTCTGAGAGATCATGAAATACAGGAATCTTTATTTTATGAACAAGGACACTGACGCTCAGAGTGGTTAAGTCATTTGCTTTAAGATGAAGCAGCTAATGAATGAGAAGGATACTCAAAGTCTAGAAATTTGAACCCACCTTATCACAGCTGCATATCACAGGAAATGTGGATTATTTGGGGAAAAAATATAAAAGTTTCAATAGCCTAACAACTTTATTTTCAGCTGTTTAAGCCCAAGACAGGAGCAATATTTCAGAGACTATTTTATAAGATAATTTCAAAAATTAAAATGTAGAAATGAGATTTCTAAAGTCATAATTCATAATCAAAATCATCTTAAAATGAACACTCATGTCCTCGAAGGGACTGACAATATTTTTAAAAATTTGTATATATATATAAGTACAGATTTGTCACTAGGGTAGAAAAGACTTGAAATGATCAAACCAGAAAAGATTATAATGAGTCCCTGGACTGGTGGACACATTTTCAGGTAGAAAATATGGCTGCCCTTTGTGAACCTCCTAAAACCCTACTTAGCGACATGTGGTTTCTCCCCGAATGCACATAAACCAGAATATATTTAGGAGTTGGTCTATTTCTAGTCACACAAGTTATGTTTCCTAAATAAGCCTTCGGATTACCATTTTGGTTTGTTCCCCAAAATTTCCGCACTCCATATGGTGGAAGATGCAGTCCCACCTTCTTAACAAGACCTTGTGTGAACTATACAGTGCTGCCTTCAGCCCATCCGTTCCTATGCACATTCCAGGGCGAAGAGACATGCAGGGCTGATGAGGGAGGCAGGAAATGAGAAAGACAGGCATGTTCCAAAGTTGAGATTCTGAACTGCTTTCCAAATTTCCAAATGTGAAAATTTCTTTAGTTTGCAAAAGCTGTTGTAAATGATAGCGCAGAGCATATACATTCAGCTTATGGGGAGAGTCACACCGTACGGTGTTATACTAATTACAGCTCAAAAACCTACTACAGTAGATTTTTTAGCACATCAATAAGAATATTATAGTTGCAGTTTTCTCTCATTGAAATAATGATTTGTAAAGCTACATAAGTCTGGAAAGGGTCACTTGGGGATATATTAAAATTATTTTTGGAATGCTATGAGAATAAACTTACCTGTTCATAAGTGATTATATTGGTTTTCTGTTCTGACTCCTCTTCAGTTACAGGTTTAATGGTTAATTTTACTTATATTAACCAAACAATTAGCCCCCCAAATTTCTAGAATTTCTGTAACACTGGTAATAATTTACAAGCAAGGAAATTAAGACAATGAGTTATCCATACCCACGTGGCATTAGTTTGAGAAGATAACATAAATAGGTAAGAAAACAGATTACTTCATTAAGTTTTCATAGTGCATTTGAAACCTTGGCTAAATGACACAATGATAAGGGCTACCAGTTGTTTACTACAGCACAATTTGCACAGTGTGAAAGGAATATACTTTAATGAGGCATATCCTTTTTGAGGGGAAACTAGCTTTGGCAACCAGTACTCATGTAACCGTTCAAATCCTTCCAAACAGCTTTCAGATAACTGTTGTAGGTATCAGTCTTATGAACCGAAATTAACCTAGACTCCACAACATTCTTTCCTCCAAAACATCTTCCCTCTCCATTTTGTTATTCATTATTATAATTATTAGTGAATAATAAATGCTTTTCAGGTATTTCTTACATTAATAAACCAAAAGGTAGATAGCCAAGCAGGTAGATAGATAGAAATGAACAATAATCTAAAATAGAGGAGGGGACCTAAAGGTTATTATTTATAGTTAAGGGAGCAATTAAGTTATAATTTAGTCTTCTCATGTATTTCCAATATTTTGTTTATTTTTTAAAAAACTAATTTATTCGCCTTTTCCTGTGATCATTTTCCAAGTGAGGTTACTTTTTTTAATCAGTTGTGCAGATTTAATTCTTTTTTTCATATACATATATTTTTTCTTTTCAGATTATTTTCCATTATATGTTATTATAAGAAATTGAATAAAGTTCCCTGTGGTATACAGTAGATTCTTGCTGTTTATCTATTTTATATATAGTAATGTGTGTCTGTTAATCCCCAACCCTAATTTATCCCTCCTCACCCTTTCCCTTTTTAGTTTGTTTTCTATGTCCATCAGTCTGTTTTGGGTTTGTAAATAGAATTTGTATGATTATTTTTAGATTACACATATAAGTGATATTATATGATATTTGTCTTTCTCTGTCTGACTTACTTCACTCAATATGATAATCTCTAGGTCCATCCATGTTGCTGCAAATGGCATTTTTTCATTGTTTTTTTATGGCCGAGTAATACTGTATTGTATGTATATGCCAGACCTTCTTTATCCAGTCATCTGTGGATGGACATTTAGGTGGTTTCCATGCCTTGGCTGTGGTAAACAGTCCTGCTATGAATCTTGGGGTGCAGGAGTCTTTTCGAATTATAGTTCTCTCCAGATAAATGCACAGGAGTGGGATTGATGGGTCATAGGTCTATTTTTAGTTTTTTAAGGAACCTCCACAGTGAAGTTACTTTTTAAAACAATATTTAAATTAATGACTGATCTACAATCAGCTTGAGTTACCGATGTATAATGAGAGGTCGAGAGAGAGGCCATTGACTGAGAGAGTCTTCTGTGCACCTTAAAGTGTACTAAGCATTCAACATCACTACCTTACTTACTCCTCAGGTCAACACTATGATACGTCTTATTATCCCTAATTGACTTAGGAGAAAACTGACACCCAGAGAAGTTAAGTAACTTACCTAAGACTATATAAACGGTAGATGGCAATGCTTGAATTCAAAGATTTGTTTGATTTTAGGCAAAACCACATGTCTGACTTGACCATTTGAAAAATCAAACCAAATCAAACCAAATTCCTCAACAGATGAATCACCTACCTTTGAGTGGTTCTAATTTCTGGTGTATTTTCCAAAACAAACTGCAAACTACGTGAGATTAGTTGCACAGGATTATTAATGACTCACCAGTTTTTCTTGTGCATCACCCCCCTATGCAAAAAACATGTTATGTGTATTAACATTTAAAATATTGTTTTTAACGCTCATGACCATCATACTCCATTAAACATGTTCTTCCGGGTTAAACTATCATTAAATTATTAAAATCATTAGTAGCACTCAACTGAGCAAAACAAATTAAATGCACTACATGTTTTGATACATTATTAAACTTAAACGGTAAAATTGGAGTCAAATTCCTTAACAAAATGCATGGGCAGGGGTGGCAGAGCACCTTGACTAAAGCAGTCTGACAAACACAAACATTTTGCATCTTCACTTTTTTCCCTCCACCAAGAGGTTTTCATACCTTGAGACAATGGTAAGATTCAGGAAGAGTTGGAAGATTGTGAAAGAGGAGGTACGACAGACTCCTTGGAACCCAGGCACATCTAGGACATCTCTCTCTTAGATTAAAAGTTTCTAAAGTATATGAAAATAGAGTGAAGAATCAAACTATCTTCACTCTACCCTCGGCTTGCCCTCCAAGGGATGGGCAAACGCCACTTTTTATTCCAATTTTCTATAGGTTATTTTAACCCCTGCTAAGTCTCCATTCCCCGTTACATTTTAATTGTTCAACGTTTTATAAAAAGATTTAAATATTAATACTTGAACGTGCTCCAGTCCACTACATTTCACTGTGGTGTCAACTGCAGGTATGCAGTTTGTACTTTCTGTATTTCCAGTCCTTCCTTCTGCTCCTCCAAGGCAAACAGATCTGCTCCCTCCACCCCCCAAATACAATTCTCGCTTCCCCACCTCCACATCTTGGCCCCGGGCCTCCACTTTCATTCCACCACCCCAGCCAGGGGCACACGGAAAAGTCCTCCTCTCCCTGAAGACTGAGATCCAGCTCATCCTGCAAACACTGGGTCCGTCACCAGCTCTTTCCTGAAGTCTTCCCAGAACAACAGGGAATCAGTGCTCCCTCCTTCCTTTCTGAAGTCCACCAAGAACCAGTGTTCCTCCCATTCCTCTCTACCTCACCCTTATTGTTTAGCAATCCCAATGACATTGTGAACGGCGCCCTCACTTTTCACCACAACGCATCCCTCAAAGCCATGTTGGAAAGCCGACTGTCACCAAGCCCATTCCTGTTTCCCCCCAGGCACCATGCAACACTCCAGTAAGGAGTGGTGACAAACGAGAGCTGAGACCAACAGGGGCATAAAACTAATAATAGTAATAGTAGTAGTGGTAGTAATAATAATAATAAAGCACCTGTGTATCTCAAAAAATAATTTGGGAAAAAAATAAAATTATGACTTGAGTCATAGAAGGCTGAAATGGATCATAGAGCCCCAGTACCAGCCCCCTCATTTCTCAGATGGGGACCCAAAGCCACAAAGAAGGTGAGAAACTTGCCCTGAATTTCAGAGCTGAGAAGGGATGGGAACAGAACTCAGGCACAGCCCTGCTGACATGCAGACCACAGCCCTTCCGAAAATAGTCTACTGCCCTGCTAGAAATGCCTATTAAAAGGGCAAACTTTACACACCAATTATTTAGGGAGCCTTAATTTGCAATAAAGCGTTCAACTACCATAAAGAATAAAACCACTGAACCATAAATCAAAAACCAATATACTCCTCCCAGTAAACATTAAGCGAACAGTAACCCAAATAAAACCCCCACAGTGGGCTCCTGGGAGGGGCAGCCACACCTCTGTTCGCACGCTGCCCGGCTCTCTGGGGTCACACACATCCCGTGGATGAACCCACAGCCCACGGCCGGCCTCCTGGAGGTTCCTATGTAGCTGGACGCTAGAGCTGTGAAACGTACCCAGGGGAAATCTGCACACCTTTTCCTCGCCCCATCCATCTCCCGGCAGCACGCAGACACAATCCAAAAATTAACTGATCATTTAATTCAAAGATTAATTTGCAGCATCTAAATAATTCGAGGCTGTCACTAAAGACCTTAGCTGAGAGGATTTAGAACTATCATTCCCAGCACAGGTTGGACATTGGATTGTACGAGGAGTTTGGAAACAGTGTCCTCAGTTCTCACCAAATGAAGCAAAATCTCAGGGGTGGGGTCTAAGCATTATTTTTTAAAAACTGATACACTTTAATTCTGATCATTCTGTACACTGTGAGAGCTAAGAACCAAGTGTTTGGTGGATAGAAGTTTTGTCAGGTAGGTCCTTTCCTTCTTTTCCTGACGTTTCCTGCCCAACTGGCAGGACTTTTTCAGCTTCAGGCGACAGAATCCCAACCTACTTTGGCTCAAAGGCGAACGTGCTCACACATCTAAAGTCAGGAGTGAACCTGGCCCCAGGTGTGGCCCTCAGAACGTGCACCTTCGACTCCTCTACTTTCTGAGTCCCTCTCCCACATGACGTCCTCTCTTGCCTGTTTCCCAGCTCAGATTCCATGGCCAAGCATCGCAGTCACTCCTGGCTTACTCCTTCAACTGCCTTCTCCCTCTCACCGGGTTGGGGGGGTCCTGGGGCAAAACCGTCACCCTGCTGGTGTCCAGCTCTGCCTTCTCCACACTCAGCCGTGCAGTGAACCTGGCCAGAGCGAAACACACCATCCTGCTGATAGGTCTCACCTTCAGTTAATGCCTCCAAAGTCTGGGGGGCCCTGAATTCTGTCAGCAGTCAGGCCACACTTCCCTACTCCATTCACTCCCCCACGCTCCTGCACAATTAATTCCCACCTTCCCTTCCCTCTGTTCCTCAAACTCCTAACACCTAGGCCCCCACGTTCACTCTCATCAGAGGACCCTGCTTCCTACTTTCCCAGAGAACTGCAGGAATCTGAAGGGAACCGTCACAGACTCAGCACCACCAACGCCCGCCATCAGCTTCGCACGCCTGCGTGCTGCTTCCTCCCTCATCTGTGAAGAAGCCATCCGTGTCCCTGGCTAACCCAACCCTCCTCCTGCACCTGCCTGGAATGGTTCATTTTAGGTGTCAGCTCGGCTGAGCTGTGGCGCCCAGATGTGTGCTCAAACACTATTCTGGATGTTTCTACGAGGGTGTGTTTGGACGAGATTAACATTGAAATGGGTGGATTTACATCGAAATGCTTTACTCTCAGTAAAGCAGACTGCCCTCCATCATGTTGGCCAGCCTTATCCAATCAGTGAAAGGCCTGAACAGAACAAGAATGAGCAGCAGAAGGCTTGTGAACTTGACCTTCAGCACTGGCTCTTTCCTGGGTCTTCAGCCTGATGGCTCACCCTACAAATTGTGAACTTTGTAGCCTCCATAATCATGTATGCAAACTCTTTATAATATATAGGAATATATTATAGTGTATAATATAATACATAGTGTGTATTCTACGGAATATAAATCATATATCACATACATGCACACATCTTTTTGGTTCTGCTTCTCTCTAGAGCTATCCCTCTCATTAACACGAGGAATTCGCTCCAGGAATTCTCACCTTTCTGGTCTATGTCATCATTTTCTCTTTCTATAGGATCATTTCCATTTGCATTCAAACATGCTGTCATTTCTCTTCTGTATATCTAAGTTTTAAAAAAACCATACTTGCCCTTAATTGAATGTCCCCCACCAGCTACTGTCCCATCTCTCTGACTCCCTCGCCAACAAAACTTTGTGAAGTTTTATCTGTAGTCACTGCCTTCAATTTCACTCCTCTCATTTTCCACTAAGCCTCCTCCGAACACCTTTTCAATTATACCACTGCACGGAAACTTCTGTTGAGAGCAACAGCAATTTCTATTTCGATACATTCAAGAGTCACCTCTTGGTCCTCGTCTTACTTGACCTGTCGGCAGCGTTTTCAACAACACCCTGCATCCCTCACTTCCCTCCCACAGTGCTGACCTGCGTGCTATTCCGCAGAAACGCAGGCACGTGCCTCCTTCCCATCCTGCACTGGTTGTTCCCTCTGACTGGAAAGTTCCTTCCGTTCCTTCCACTGATATCAAGTTTCCTTCTTCCTTTAATTCTTTGCTCAACTATGACTTCCTCAGCAATAGCTGACCTTATGATCCTACGTAAAATTAGAATCACTCCCACTTCCAGCTCCTTCTCATTCTGCTCTATTTTTTCCACAGCACTTGCTCCTAACATACTGTACAATATACTTATTAACTGTGTTCTGTTATTTAATGTCTGAGCTCCGTAAGTGCAGATTTTTTGTGTGTCTGTTTTGTTCACAAGTACTTTTCAAGTATCAGCAATAATGCTTAGCACATACTTGACACTCGAGAATATTTGTAGAATAAATGAATGAGGATGCTCTTCAGCTATCCTCTCTGTTTCCTATTACTCAGTTAAATTTCCTCCTAATGTAGACCTGCTTCCCTCACGATGGGGCAGACAGCTGCTGGCCATTTCCAGGTTCACAGCGTTACAACTCCAGGACCGTACGTGAACGGAGACTTCCCTCTCAACTGCAGCTTGAAAAATTCAAGTGAAAGACTTAGGTCACATACCAGACAACTCCTTTGGCCTAGAAGACACATCTTGTGAAAGGACAGCAAATAACGTTTATGTGTCACATGAGATGTTGGTGACGATGTGACATCTGGGAGAACTGTCCCGAGTGGGCAGCTATCCCAAATTTATTTCTACTAACTCCCCATCACTCCGTCCCTTCTACCAGCAAACATTATGAAAGCAGAATTGAAAAAATAATAATGTCCATGCATACAATTGTCAAAGATAACACTACAGCGAGGCGTCCCACAGACACTGCACACTCAGTATGTCCAACAAGGTGGGCCCAGCCCTCAGCCCCACACCTGCTCCTCCTCAACAGTCTCCATCTTATCAGGTGGCCCAGTTACAGTCACTCAGGCCAGAAACCTAAGACTCACCCTAACACCT